TAAGTAGTATGCTTCTCTCGAGGGTAAAACTGTCTGATATACGCCTCTTTGTAGCAGTGTCACCCGAGCTGGTAGGTATTTTATGTTAAAGATCGCGACGGACTATATGACATGTAAACGAAATTGCGTCTGCCTCTCGACTGGATTTTTAAAATCAGTGAAACATATTCTGACAAGCTAAAAACTGCTATAGAAATGGTTGAGAATGCAAACCACTCAATGCATAAAATAGCTTAAATAAAGCAGTGAAAGTCAGTGAAATAAATCTCTACAAAGTGAACACAAAAACAGCTGATCGAACGGTTTTCGAACTCCGGGCACACCATGCGTCATATTATGACGTCATACGATTGTTCGGCGGAGAGCTTGTCGGTTAGCGTGGCGCCGGGTAATATTTTTCCAGTTGTCACCCTCCTGGGACGGGTGATACGGAAACTTGTTAAAGCGACATTGACCAATGAAATTAAAGTATTTTACATGAAGGTAAGATAAATGTAATTATAACCCAAATGCGTATATTGAAGCTCATGCTGTTGATCACTGGAGTATCTGGCCCAGGCTAGATTATTTACAGACCGCCGCCATATAACTGGATTATTACTGTGTGCAGCGTAAAACTAAACTCACTCACTCTGGTGAGCAGTCTGCAGATCTGGTGACTACCAAGACCTTGGTATGGAATGCTGACGAGAATGGGTGATGGGAATGGTTTGATGAACTGTTTGCTGGGTGGCTTGGGTTTTACGCATTGTTTTCTTCGCCATGTGTAGAGCAACCTCAATGTGGTGAGCGCTGGGTAACGCTAATAGTTCTTCCCCAGTCTTGATCCGGGGCAAAATAGGTCCACGGCACCCCATTGCTGGTCGTAAACGGCGACCAAATGGGGCAACCTGTGTGCCATGGGTTGCGGCCATGTGTCGGCGGAGGATGGGATTCCAGTGGTTGAGGGCACTGGATCCAGGAATAGTGTTCCTTTGCCCAGTACACCACATCGACCCTGACTTCACTTTGACTGCTGGTAGAATGGACCCGGTTCAATCAGTCTGCTGGTCATGCCAAGCCCGGTGCATTATTTTGTTGCACAAATTGTAAAACTACTGAAATATTTTCGTCGATGGTCTTGGCCGAGTAATATTTCACTTGAATTCCGATAAATACACTTTCTAGTTTCTAATTTACCTAGAGTCGTATGGTGGAAAAAGTGATCTATTAGTTTTTCAACTGGAGCATATCATCTGCGTATATCTGGAATATTGCTTAAAGTGGCGTAAAACCAAACTCAGTCAGTCAGTGAGTTCATTGTACATTCCGATATCATCAAGTCGTAAGCAGCCTGATCTTCAAACACTCTATTTTTTTAGTCGACCGCCTCCGTCGTGTAGTGGTTAGAGCGTCCGCCCGGAGAGCGGAAGATCGCGCATTCGATCCCCGACCACGTCATACCAAAAGACGTTAAGATATGGTACTTGTTGTTCCTGGCCTGGTGCTGTGCATTAATGGGTACAACAAGCACTGGGAACACAATAGCTAAGCTCTGCTGCTAAGGCAGCACTCAACAGCAGGCATTAATATATTACATGAAATTAATCCAACCGTTAGCTACACCTACTTGGGTTGTCAGTCCAGATTCGAAGATGTCATCATGCGACGATGTCGCACTGACAATACAAGATACACTTATGAGTTTGTATTGAAAAGTGAGGATCCTTCATACTGTAGCCCTTGTGATGTTTGAATCACGGTCAAACATGTCCTGCTTGAATGTGTTGATTTGTCCTTCACATGGGATAAATATTTGAAAGTTTCAACCTTAAAGGATCCTTTTAGTATCAGTTCTCGTTTAGTTATTGGGTTTCTAAAAGATATTGAATCAACTGATTATTTTTTGTGCACAAATATTGTAAATAGTAAGTACAAAATTTAAATTGGTCGATTGAATAAATAACTCTGATTGTAAGTAGCTGTACCTTCAACGGGGGTTGAAGTAGCGTAAAATAATTGTCCCTCTGATAGGGTACGTAAATCCCATTGCTTTCAAAGCATTTTTCATTCTCTGAATTTTAAGAAAAAAAATATATAATGTACGGCTTATTTGTTAAACAATGGCCAAAACATAAATGTAGGATGTAAACAGTTACTGGAGATCCATAGCCGGCTTTACTGGATCCAGCAAGTCGCCTCTTACGACAAGCTTGGGATATGTTGAAGACCAACGTTCTTGTTTCCATGAAAAACGTGAAGCTTTGAGTACCTTTTTCCAAATCTAACTGCTCTTTTCATGTCCACCAACATTGTGTAAACAACTACAGCCACAAATATTGAGTCTCTCTTGACTATTGAATGTATTGAGATTTAACTCTTCCATTTCTAGCTGATATGGGTGTATCAGAGGAGTGAGTGAGTGAGTTTAGTTTTACGCTGCACTCAGCAATATTCCAGCTATATGGCGGCGGTCTGTAAATAATCGAGTCTGGACCAGACAGTCCGGTGATCAACAGCATGAGCATCGATCTGCGCAATTGGGAACCGATGATATATGTCAACCAAGTCAGCGAGCCTGACCACCCGAGGCACCCGTGAAGAGCCACCTCCTCCTGGTGGGTGCTGGGTAACGCTAAGCGCTCTTCGACCCCCCGTTGTGGACCCGGGGGTATATTTGGTCCACCAACCCGTTTGCCGTGGGTTGCGCCCCTGTGTCGGTGGAGGAAGGGATTCTGGTGGTTGAGGGCACTTATCCAGGAACAGTGTTCCTTTGCCCAACACACCACTTTGGCCCTAACTTCACCTAAACGGGTGGTTGAATGGGCCCGGTTCAACCAATCGGTTGGTCACACCAAGCCCTGAGCACACATTATGTAATGTTGCACAACATTTTGAAAATTGCAACCTACTATTTTTAAATCTTGGCGAATTTTTAGAACTTTAGAATTTCAAATAAACACTTTCTTGCTTTTGCCTAGAGTCGTATGCCCAGAAGGCGGTGGCTCATGGGCCAATCAGGTGGAATTATTACTTTTGTATTATTCTGCTTGCGTATATCATCCGGGTATCCTTGGTGCTGCAGGCTGGAAACCCGCCTGTTTTTAGCATTGTCCTTGTGATAATCCGTGGAGGGTGGGGAGCTCGGATGATGAACCATTCAACAATAACTATGGCTTACGAAACCCCCATTACAAAAAAGAAACGTCCACTTGACACTGATGCTGATGTTAACGACCAAAGACTGCCCACATCCATTGACTACTGGCCACGTATCATTGTGATTGCGACCGTTGACAAAACACCTTTAAAGCTGAATCCTTTTGCTGTATCAAAAGGCATACAAGGCATTGCAGGAGATGGTAAAAACATTAAACGTTTGCGGACAGGTGCACTTCTAGTTGAATGTAGTAGAAAACAACAGGCTACCAACCTCCTGTCAACTGACTCATTTGTCGGCATTCCCGTATCAGTCTCTGCCCACCGAAGGCCATAGACCGGGATAGACTTTTTACTGACATGCTGGAAAAAGATATTGTCTCTGAGATGAAAGAACAAGGTGTTATATATGTTAAACGCTTCACAACCCGGAAAAATAATGAAACCCATCTAGCCAATACGTATCTGTTCTCTTTCTCCACTCCGACTGCTCCAAAGTCAATAAAGGCTGGTTACTGTCACATCAAAGTGGATACATACACACCAAATCCACTGAGATGCTTCAAGTGCCAGAAGTATGGTCATGGTGTCAATACCTGCACACTGGCTGTTGTGTGTGCTCACTGTGGTGAGAAAACACACACAACAGAAGATTGTGACACAACTTACAAAAAATGCACCAATTGTTCAGGAGACCATCCCTCTTTCTCTAATGAGTGTCCGATTTGGAGACATCAGATGGAAATAAACAGGATCAGATTTACTCAGAATATTAGTTTTGCCGAAGCGAAACAACTTGTACAAAGATGCGAGCAACAAGAGACATATGCTTCAAAAACCAGAAAACCATCTGAGACAACTCCTAAAAAACCTAAATCATCTTCCAGCTGCCAAACAAATTTGACTTGGGTAAAAACCGATTCTCCTCAGATTTTTTCAAGTGCAATATCGACTCAAGCAGCGGAGTCACTTTCCGGCATGTCTCAAACTCAATCAGAGCAAGTTCCTGATCCTGATGCATCCTCTCAGTCAACCACAAAGTCTCAATCGCTTTATAATGTCCATCAAATTACTAAAGACAACAATAAACCTAAGCCTGATTATTAAAAAAAACAAAGTGGCAGAGCCCCAAAAGGGTCTGAAAATAAAATTAAACTTTACAACAAATATGGATCACTTGAGGACATGGACGTGTCCGAAAACGTCCAATATAGGGCACGCAGCTTGTCGCCCTCCAAAACAGTACGGGGTAGATCCCCAATAAATCCGCCGAAAAGATAGTTTATTCCAATAATATTGTACAGTGGAATTGCAGAGGACTAAGGCATAATTATAATGAATTACTGTTATTAGTCCAGGATTGTATGCCGTCAGCATTCTGTTTGCAGGATACTTATTTAAAGCAGGCAGATCCTTTTGACCTACGTCATTTCAATGCTTATCAGTATTTCTCACCTCCGGTTGACAGGGCCACTGGAGGTTCTTCAATTCTAGTCAAACAGAATGTTATCCATAGCCCTATTACACTTACTTCTAATCTTCAAGCAGTTGCAGTGCAACTCACTTTACACGTTGCATTTACATTATGCTATTTGTATATCTCACCATCTTCAGTCATTCAGAGGGGCGGTGGGGTAGCCTAGTGGTTAAAGCGTTGGCTCGTCACGCTGAGGACCCGAGTTCGAATTCCCACATGGGTACAATGTGTGAAGCCCATTTCTGGTGTCCCCCACCGTAATGTTGCTGGAATATTGCCAAAAGCGGCGTAAAACCAAAACTCAGTCAGTCATTCAGAAGACTGATCTTCAAACTCTATATAACCAACTGCCAAAACCCTGTATTATTATGGGGGACTTAAATAGTCACAACCCACTTTGGGGTGGTACAACTACTAATGCTAAAGGTAAACTGTTAGAAGAGTTCTGTTCAGATAATGATTTATGCATATACAATGACGGTTCCAACACCTATTTACATCCTGGCACTGGAACTTATTCGGCGCTTGATGTATCAGTTTTAAATTTAGGATTCAAACGTACTGAATGAATTTGAATGGTCAGTTCACGATGGCCTCTGTGGAAGTGACCATTTTCCTACCATTTTATCACCTGTGAACCCATCTGATATTACCCCATCTTCAAGATGGAACTTTGAAAAGGCTAACTGGCCTTTGTATCAAGCTGTGTGTTGTAGCAGACTTAAACCTGAATTTTTTATAGAAAGTCCTGATCCTATAAAGGATTTCTCTGACGAACTAATTAACATTGCTGATGAGTGTATCCCCAAATCCTCTGCAATTCCACACATACGAAAACCATGGTTCACCAATGAGTGCAAACAGGCTAGGAAGGCACGGAAGAAAGCTGAGAATTATTTCCGTCGCCATCCTAAGGTCCATAATTTGAATAAATTTTATAATTCTAAATGCTAAGGCACCTTCAAGCAAAGTAAACGTCAATCCTGGCGAAATCATGTATCAAAAATACATTCGCGAACGCCTATCTCAAAGGTATGGAATATGATCCAGAAAATAAAAGGTAAGGGTTCTCAATCTAGCATTAAGCATCTTAAAGACGGAGACGAATTATTAACTAGTAAATATGATATTGCAAATACACTTGGAGAAACTCTTCCTCATCGAATTATCTACCTCAATTCCAAACTTATAAAAAACAGCAGGAGAAGAAAACTATTAATTTTCCATTCACATAATGGGGAAGATTACAATGAACTATGTTCTATTCATGAGCTTCATACTGCTCTTGACCAGGCTCACGATACTGCTACAGGGGCTGATAACATCAGCTTCTGAAGCACTTACCGGAATCATGCTTAGAGACCCTCTTAAACATTTTTGATGTTATTTGGACATCTGGAAAATGTCCATCTTCATGCGCGATGCTATTATTGTTCCCATCCCTAAACCTGGACGTGACCATACTGATCCTTCGAATTATCAACCGATTTCACTAACTAGCTGTGTTTGCAAGACAGTGGAACGCATGATAAATAATCGCATTGTTTGGTACTTGGAAACCAATAACCTTATAACGGATATTCAATGTGGTTTCCGTAAAAACAGAAGAATTATCGACCATTTAGTGGTTTTAGAATCCTTTGTTAAAAATGTCATTATTCAAAAGCAACATGCAGTGTCGATTTGTTTCGATTTAGAAAAGCATATGACACTACTTGGAAACATGGGATTTTTAAGAGATTTACACAATTTTGGATTGGGAGTCGTTTGCCTCAAATTCATATATCGGGTTTTAACTGACGAACGGGAATTTCAAATTAACGGCGTGGGTTAAACTATACGATCGTTACAAATCGGTGGGACCAAAGGGGTAATACCAAGAACGGCAAATGCGCGTGGAACACCAGAACCAATTCATTGAAGGTTTGAAATCAGTTCGATGAATTGGTCGCTGTTTATGGTGGATTTTATCAGCCTAACGCCTGTGATAAGATGCATACTCAGACGTTATGTTTGAAACCGATAATGAAATTGAGTCGAAGAACGAGCAGTTCCAAATCGAAGGCAATCGCCACTTCTTCTAAAGATATAAAACTCCGCCGGGGTTGACTGGAACTAATTTGCTCGATGGTTGAGAATACCGATACTTCAGTTGTTTTCTGGGCCATTTCGGCATAATGTCCGGGCAATGTCTTTGATTACCCAGTGACGTTCTATCATTCACTGGCTGGCGAGCATATATCTTCAAACGCTCTTGAAATATATTAATGGCTTCCGTAAATCATCATGCGCCAATCGCCGTTCGGCTTTAACGATATCTATTTCAGATATTAAAACTCTTCATTACCGACATCCGCTTTTACATTGATTAATACGTTATTATACCAATGGAACTGCACGGCCAGTAGACAATGATAACGCATTGTTGTGGATTTAAAACCACCAGCGTTTCTACGGAGACACGGCAGATCGCGCTGCCGAAGGCCAGAACTTCAACGATCAATGGCGCCGCTGGCTATTCCGCTTAACTCGATTGCGGAGCAGCGTCAGCGGTCGTTGCCGAAAAGAGTGGGACACTCAAAGTAGGGTATCAATGATTACATTGAAGAACCAGCTGCCGTTTTTCCAGCGGGTTGTCGATTCCGGGATTTGAAGAAGGATAAATCAATACGATGAATAATACGACCGGCGCACGGTATACACGTTTTCGCCGAAGGTGAGGATCCATCGGAACAGCATATTGTAGGTGGGACGCAAGATCAAATTCAAGAGCATATGTTGAAATCCGCAAAGGGTATCAACCCTAAATCCGATTAATATGAAGGGATCTTTTCATGCCGGAATATGTTTACCCCAATTATTGCGTTTTTAAAGATTCGTTTGTTAAACATGGAATTAATCATCGCTACTCGGTCAGGTTTGCGATGAAATAACGCACGATTTGTTGGGGAGTGCTATTCAGGGGGGATTCCGTACGTAGGTATCTATCACAAGAAGGTCGCTGAAGATCCAAAGCATTCCGAACCGATTTCAAACTTTCTAACCATTTTAATAAATGCAGAATAACCGCCATTTATCGCCATGGCAGATATAATAAAATTTACTTCGCTGCAAAAGCTGGGGAACCATATAAAGCTCCAGCTAAAGGCTAATGGGAAACCGATAACGCATAATTCAGCAGCCTGATCTACCGCTGATTTGTTGTCGTCTGCGTAGCTACATTTTATATTGGTTTATATCAGCGAATCTTTTAAGTTTAATTACTGGTTTTGCATGTATCGCATTCATCAATTGCTACTGTCAACCTTGCCGGTTACCGCTGTTCAAATATCGGTATTCTACGTCATTCATGATACGAAATATCCCGATGTGATGACGTTCGATATCACTCTCGCTCACGATACCCGATCCATTCGTCACTTCTTTTCGCGACGGCATATTTCGCCTTTACTTGATAAGAATGGGCTTACTGAAGATAACTTTTCTCGGATCTCAGGGCTGTCAGAAGAAAAGTTAATGCAGATGATCACTCTGAACGACCACGCGATATTAATCTAATACCTAAATTAGTCTTTAGGCAACCGGCCGCGCCCATGCTTAAGAAAAGGGTTGGAATTGATCAAACCTCCTCCGCCAGTTTCACGCCGCCATCCTATCGCAATTGCCTAGATTTGCATTATTTTCACTCTATTTACACAAACCTTAAAAGACAGTACTGACTCTTGACGTTGAAAAGTATAAAAGCTAATGTGAAACATTATAAGTGGATATTTTAACATACAGAATATGAAAATTTGTGTGTGCATTTCTACTCATGTCCTAGATGAAGCCCAACAGCACAAATTATCCCAAAGGAGACGAGCACACAACAAGCAGGCCTGTTACAAAGACATCCTACACTGCAATAAAGCTCCATGGCGACCCTATACTGCACGTAAATTAAAAGAACAGATGCTTTTGTTTTGCAAGGGTGATATGTTTCTTCCTTGACGAGATAACAGAGTTGTTAAGCATTTTCAAAGTCATCTTTTGTTGTCATAATATATTAATATCATACTGCATTACTTTAAGATAAATTCTCAATAGCCAATCGCATAATGAAACCAAAAGTGCGATTTGCAAGGGTGTACGAACACACTACACTGGTTGTATAGAGTTTGCGTATGCAATCATAAGGCATAAACAGAAGTGATAAAATTGTCATAATTTCGTATTTGATTGTGTCAATTAATTTTTTAAATATTATTTTTTTTCTTTAATTCACTTATCGTTTTAAAAACACTCAAATTCGATCATATCTATCATAAACTAAGCCATCACGAGTTATCTCCCCTTTATGAGATGAAATGTTTTGCGTCACATTCTGCCGAAGATTGAATGTTGTTGGTTTTAAGATAAGCTAAATAAAAAGATATTAAGGGTATAAACACGGCACATGGTGTTTTGAAAGGGTGTACGACACTGTAAGACCTTAGTAAGGGACCCTACATAACTTATGGCTTGGAGGCTGGGTGTCGGTTTTAAGGAGAAGCATGTACAATATAAATGACTCCCCTAAAATTTATGTACAAAGTGAATTGCACCCCTACCCCCTTTATTTTCAAGCATAGTTTTAAAATATATATTGTTATGTTCAAAATTGCTGACCCACCTGACTTTCCCAGAACAAAACCCTTTCAAAACACCGTGTAACTAATAGTGTTTAGAATAATTTGCAAACGCAGATAAATATTTACGAATAATTTGTTTGTTTTCCGCAAAGTGAGTAAGCGGAGTTTAGTTTTACGCCGCATCTTCGGTAATATTTCAGCTATTTGGAGGCGGTCTGTAATTGGGATGTGGTTGTGACACGCTGACCAGGCTGACTCATGTCATCCTATGCCAGATGCATAGATCGATGGTCATGCTGTTGATCACTTGATTGTATGGTCCACATTCAAATATTTACAGACCGCCGCCATATAGCTGGAATATTGCTGGAATATAACTAAACTCACTCACTCACTCATCACAGTGCCTTTGCTACCTGCACGGACTCTAGCTGGATCTACTTAATCCCTTGAGATTAATCTAGCCATGAATTTACGAAGCACGGTTACAAACGTGGTAGGATTACTTTGACACCACTCTGCGTAGATCAATGGTCATGCTGTTGATCACTTGATTGTATGGTCCACATACAATCAACTCTAATGTGTTGTATGCTTGCCATGAATTGTGGTGGAAATGTTAAAATTCATCGAGGGCAAGAACAATATTGCCATATTTTAAACCCTCTTGAGTATATCGCCACTAACATTAACAGTGACTGATAAATGCAAATCAATTATGAATTTCATTTATCTTTTTACAAAAAAAATCGAAAAAATCTATTTCCTTTAATGATTCACTATTT